ATTCAACATTAACGATGCAAACACAAAAAACAAAAGCTAGGGTTCTGGGACTTATTTTTCTTTTTGTACTGTAATTTGTTTTTCAGCCTCCACAGTTTGACTAACTATCCAAATTCAAAGACAGAAAATGCTGAGTTCACTAAAATATTTTTCTTTGTTTTTGGAGGAATTACTACATAGTTCTAAGTGTGACTAGGGCATGAAGCTGTTTTATGGTTAAAAAGAAAAAAAGGAACAGAAAGCAAACAAGGTGTGTATTTACTTTAAATAAATAGAAGACACTATACAGATGGTAATAAACCACCAGACAACCTAATCTATTTTTCTCCATCTTCTCACCTTCCTTTAATACTTAATTTAGAAACATGAAACAAGAGGCTCGCTCCCATCAAATCTTCGGAAGCAGATCTGCTGGTCTCCCTCTGGAAGCCATTATTGGAGCTTTGATTTTGCAACTGCGAGAGCTCAGAGATAGCGATAATCATAATGGAACAAATCACATCCATGTTAATTGACATTTGCAAATAAGAATAAAATTGAACTTTCACACTATCATAATATACTTCCATTGATATCTACAGTGTCAATTGATCTTCTGAGTATGTGTGAATTGTGTGTGGGGGCAGTACTGGAGGAAGTTAAACAAAAACAAAGCTTCATAGTCTACATAATTAATCTGTTTTCAGTCACTTTTTGCTGCTGGGCACTTTAACTCTGAGTTTTTGCTGCATGAATAGGGAAGAGAATCTCATGGATTTGGGGTTTCATTTTACTTGACAGTACTAATACTGTATGTGGTTATATTTTGTGATTCTTTTCATACATGAAAGTGGAGAATGTGGTTGAAAATGAGGAGAAAGACATGGAAAGCAAATGGATAATGCATGATGAATTGATAATTCTTAAGTCTTAAGCAGGTAATCCTTAGGTAATACTTAAAGGGCCAGACCTAATCAGCAGAAACCATGTGGGACTTGGATTTCTCAAAGAATAACAGGGGGATTCTCCAAACTTGTCTTTATGCTGAATGAGTCAGTTCATAATTTGGAACCAGCTAATCATAATATTGTAATATTGGAAACTCCATGGTAGGCACACCCTCCAAAGAAGAACATTGGCTGATATTTTTTTTACTTCTAGATTTAAAATTTTAATAAGTACTGGCCTTGAGGCATTTATGCTGAAACACAGTTTTAAAAACTATAACATAAAACCGTCTTCAGGTACTTATTTTTTCTCCAACTGACTGAATAATCACCCACAAAAACCCTAAATTGCTTAAAAATGTCAAGTAAATGTTTAAGACTGCGTATATTGGTGAGGGGCTGCAAACATTTTAATGAACTTCAGAGACATATGTTTTGATTAATTAAACATTATAAGGTGCTTTTCAGACAGTGTAAATATTAATGGTCACCTAAATTAAACAGTTAACTGAGTTAGATCATTAGTGGTGAGCTAAACACTATGGACTAAACACTATTTGGAAGGAGAATTTATTTCTTCTGACAGATGGTCAGAAATGTCAAAAATCTAAATCCAAAATGTGCAGGTTAAAAATGCAAAAAATAGAAACAATTTAATCCATAATGAAAGCAAAATATATCTCTGTTTTCCATGGTTAAATGTAGGTTTTAACCATTTTAAATATTTAATCATCATTTCTATATTTCTGATTCTTTCTAATTCTCAACGTGACAGCCTCAAACACATCTAAGCTAAGAAAGAATCTTAAATCAATAGGGGTGTGAGAATTAAACAGATTAAAAACACATAGCTTCTGGACCTCTGAAACATAGATGAATTTAACTTCTTCATCCACAGTGGTTTCAAAATGGTAGTTTAAACAGGAAGACAGAATGTAATTGGAAACTGCAGTTCTTGTTTTTATCAAGGCCTGATGACCGAAAATATGTGAACCAATTTAAGCAATACTTTTTTCATGATAATTTCAACCTACAGACAGAAAAACATGGGACTGAAGTCCAAGGACTGCCATGTTTCTGAAACAGCAAATTCTTCACTTTTACAACAAAATGTACCAATACAATGGAAGTACATTTCAGATTCTTTGTCTGATGTTTACTCCTTTTCTTTAAAATTTAATAATAATAAACTGTATTTTATATAGTGCCTTTAAAGGAGGCTTCTCAAAGCACTTAAACTATAGGCAATTCAACAACCACTTGAAGCAACCAGTTGAGGACAGTGAAGTGTTAATTCATCATGAAGTCATTGTGTTTCTGACATTTAATTGACATAGATGATTTTATTTCAAATTAAGTGCATGATTTGTAAAACTACTTATAAAATCCAGCAGTTTACTTTTCGGTGTGCAGAATATGGACATAACAATAGGCCATACCCCCCATTACACTAAAGCTTTTTTGCTGTAGTTCTGTCACTAAAAGATGTAGAAGTATGAATGGGCGCTGGAAAACTACCTGTGCTTGATGTACAAAAATTATGTCATTCTCATTACGAAGAATAATAAGTATTTTTCTAATACTTTAACTCTAACCAGACGTAAGGTAGTTCGCAGGGTTATGAGTAGTAGCATTATGAAACGCTTCCTGTTAATTTGTAACGTGGCTTTTTGAGTCATATTACTGTGGATTAAAAACATAATGGAATGTTGAAACAGCACATTATAGCTGTGCAATTCAAGCAGGCAATTAATGAGGCCACACCAACTACTACCGCTGTAAAAATCCATCAATACTCCCATTCATCACAGCAAACGATAAGTAATGTTTCAGTCAATGGGCTTGTGAAAAAGCTGATCCGTATAAAAATAATATTTATTCAAACCTTGCTTAAAAAGATTCAGCATTCATGCTCATATTAATGCCAACCACAATGACAGATAATCAACTGGCGTGAAGTTTATTTTGACATTACTCGCCATTCATTTCAACTGTACACGCAGCATCAATAAGCAATTAACAAGTTGGCAAACAAAACACTGCAGTTATTTCATTATTTTGGGATGTCCATGCATGTTTTTGTAGATATCTAATAGGTTTAGCTGCAAAAGGAAAATCGTGGTCCAGTTTTCCTTATTTTTTCTGTTTTATTATATATATTTAACTGAATTTATCCCTAACACCATATACAGAATCTGTTCTGCTTTACTGTTACTTCAACATTTGAGGAAAGGTTGAATCCAAATCAGTGGGGGAAGTATTTAAGAGGTTTAAGACTGCCTGGCTTCTGAGCATTGTGCCACTGTAAAACTTGAAATAACTTTCCCCAGTTACTAAGCTGTTTTCTTTTTCGTTGTAATGTTAGTATGCTAAACAACAAACTAAGGAGACACAGCAATGGCGATACACAAGAAGAAGCACAATTGGTTAAATCGTAAAAGCCCGCTGGTCCGGTGGCTTGGGTAAAAGGCCAGAAGCTGACATATACAATAACACAAGATCTTCCACTTCATTGTGTGTTAATCCTGAACAAGTTACTTAACCTCCCTGTGCCCCTTCCTTTGGATGAGACAGGCCTGTTATAAGACTCTGCAGCTGTAGCTGTCAATGCTCAATTCACATCCTCATCTCTGCAAGTCACTTTGGATAAAAGGCTCTCCTAAATGACTAATTATTATTAAAAAATGAAACAGCGGGATTATGCAGATGAATGTCTTTTTTGATGTGTTGCACTAGGCTGATGTGAAAGCAGCTGCTTACGCTGAGAAAGAGGCTGTTCCCCTCTTTTTTTTTTCCCTCCTTCATAGTTCCAACTCTGCTTGACAGTGCTGCCTAAAGCCTAGAGCACTCTCATGGGTTCCTGTTGTGAGTAGGAACAGAAGCGTTCTTGTTTGTTTCTCAGAGTATGGCAGTGGGCAGTACATTTAGTGGTGGGAAAGGAAGAGGGAAAGGGAGGGCAGGCTTTATGTAAAACCTTTCCCTGAGTATTATAAATACAGCACACTGTCAACAAGTCTTGCTTTCCAATAAAAAAAGCCATGTGAAACTTAAAATACTAAAGAACATAGAAGCCATCACAAGGGAATAGAGTAATACTATCAATACATATGTGTTTCAAAAGGTAGGCCTCTGTTTTGATGTCAGCTGCTTCAGACATTGACAGTCATTCACAATGCACTGGCAGGTGGCTGAATATCCACTTTCTCTTAACCTCATTCTGTTTTCGCATGAGCTCCACACATAGTATCCTGCCCGCAAACAGGCATCTGCTAAAGCCTGCTTCACACTGACGAAATAATCCTTGGTTGTCACACTTTAGAAGTACGGCTTTCCTCTAAATTCACTACCGCACCCTCACACACTGCAGGTCAGGCTTTACATCAGTAGTGCAGGAAGGGCATTAGATTACTACTTTATACATTTTTCATGTGTGCTTTGTAGGTATTTGTGCTAATGAATGAAGAGATAATTTATAATCATTTATATTGCTTTAGAACAAAAATACAATGTTTTGGAATCTATGCTTTGGAAATAAAAAACAGCAAATAGAATGACTTGATTTTGGTTTGTGTCATCTGGTTTTCTTCTTTAAAAATACAAATGCATACAGTATGTAAGGTTCATATAAAGTTGATTGCTCTACTAAAACAAAAGTATTTTGAAAAGTGCACTCTGCAGCAATGAGATCTGCACTTCTAAATTGGACCATAGACAATGACAGGACACACTGGGTCAGAGTGGTGACCAACCACTTTGATCTATAATGGCTTGTGCAGATACAAGAGATGGACGTTCCCTGAGGCATATACTATCTTTGCCCACATGTGCGTGAAATTATACCATTTATGTTTGCTGTAAGTTGTATTGCAACCCAATGCACAGTTATTTGAGCAGGCCAGATAATTTTACAAGCATGTCATGTGAACACACACCATGATTTCTCGGCAATGTAATGCAAAGTTAAACAGAAAACTAGTTCAGTGACCGAGTGCATGAAGGTAAAGTGCTGTTTTCTTGTTGAGATGCACTGAAGTTATCTGTGTGTTGTACTAATGCTTCTGTCTCCCCCTGCAGCACCCCCTCTCTCAATCTCGGTGGTGGCAGCAGACACTCCGGCACCTTTCAGTCGATATCAGGCCCAGAACTTCACTCTGGTCTGCATCGTGTCTGGAGGAAAGCCTGCACCTACTGTAAGTGCTCTTCCCAACAAGAGAACAGCATCACTTATTATTCCTAAGCAGTTTTATGTAGGATTTTATTGATTGTGATCTATTCACTGGCACCAAAGAGACTTCAGTCTTCTAACTATTGCACATGTAGTCCATTTTCAGAGAAAGTTGCAGCTAGAATCTTAATTATTTCTTAATGAACAGATTATTGTTTGGCACTCTCCTTAATTTTGTCCATTTTATTTAATGAGCAATAGCTATAAATGCATATTCATTTGTCAGCTTTTTTTCATGCTTTTTGAACCCAGTTCATCCTAGCATATAATGATAACTGTATAATAACCAAGAGAGTGCCAATATTTTAACCTCTGAATTTATTAGTAATTTTTTAGGGCAGCGGGAGAGGGGAGGGTGACACTCGATGGCCTTCATTGTAAAATTTCATTGCTGTTTCTCACCAGCTCAAAGTCACTATTCATTAGCTGCTGAAGTAATGCAGTGTGTTTAGAATCAATCTCTCCTGCATTACTCAAGCAATTGAGAGCTCAGGTGGAGCCCACTGGAAAGTGAAGCCAACTGTGACCTTCCTGCCTGTGGCAGAGTCCATCGACCCTCAAGGAGGACCCATATCATGATTGGCAGTGCAGTCACAATCGCAGTCCTAAAAATGGTCACAGAGATGACATTTCTATCGCTGCCTTTCTTTTGAGTACTTGAGTGCTTAATTTAGTACTTTGTGGCCAGCAGCCATATCAACTCTGCAACTCACAACTGGCAACCCACTGAAGCTCAGCAGGTGTGAGCCTGGTCAGTACCTGCATGAGAGACCTACTGTGAAAAACTAAACTTGCTGCTGGAAGAGGTGTCAGTGGGGCCAGCAGGGGGTGCTCACCCTGCAGTCCATGTGGGTCCTACTGCCCCAGTATAGTGACGGGGACCCTATACTGTAAACAGGTGCTGTGCTTCGGATGAGACGTAAAACCAAGGTCCTGACTCTCTGTGGTCATTAAAAATCCCAGGGCGTTTCTAGAAAAGAGTAGGGGTGTAGCCCCCGTGTCCTGGCCAAAATTTCCCATTGGCCCTTACAAATCATGGCCTCCTAATAATCTCCATCTATGAACTGGCTTCATTACTCTGCTCTCCTCCCCACTGATAGCTGATGTGTGGGGAGCGTTCTGGCGCACTATGGCTGCCGTCGCAACATCCAGGTGGGGCTGCACATTGGTGGGGGTGGAGGGGATCCCCATTACGTGTAAAGTGCTTTGAGTTGAGTATCCAGAAAAGCACTACATAAGTGTTAGAAATTATTATTATTATTATTATTATTATTATTATTATTAGCTTTAATGGAAGAAAAAGCATCCAGGCACTGTCATCACCCTGAGAATGCAGGGCTTAATTTAAGCATTAGGTGATTGCTGTATAGGAACTGGGTTGTGATTTGATACAGAGGTGTCTATGAGACTACAGACACCTCTTTTTGAGTTCCATCCTTGTGAAAACTCTAAACACATGGTACATTTTCAGATTTACCACTTTTACTTTTACAAACCAGTTCAATAAACATCAGGAGGATTTCCTCATCTTACCATATTTTATCGGAGCTAAATGAGCTTCACCTTGCTTTGGCTGGGCTTTACTGAGCCATGATTTACTGTCATGCATTCTGATTAGTTTTTGTATCTGAAAGCTTTTTAATTAAATCTGTCTTCCGACATCACTTGTCTCTATCCTTGCAAATGTCTCACCTTGTTCTCTATCCCACACAGTGGATGTATTTATGTATCCAGTGTTACAATTGTTCAATAAAACTCACATCAAATATCCTATTAGTTCATGTCCAAAGACCTGCATATAGTTTGACACATTGTTACATTTGACAGAACGCATGAAATTTGTCTCTTTGGAATTCAGTCCAGAAACTAAGCACACCTCTTTCTCGCTCAAACAGATATCAGGAACTCAATTTTTATGTTATAGAAAACCTTTTCATAGTGAGTGCCGTCTCTGTAGCACCTTTACAACAACATAACAATAGGGTACAGTAAGGGCAGATGGAAGCTATGATTTATATAGAAAGCAAAGCCAAGTTCTCACCAGGCTTACAAACCGTTTGACATTTATAGCTAACAAAACATTCAAGGATACAACACATAACATTTTAAGGCCAAGCATGAAGAAATTCCCATGAAGAAATACTAAATATTATGGAAAGGATGGGAAATATCATACAGCTGTACTGCATTTTGTGAAAAGGCCCTCTGAAAATGCCCACCAGTGCTCCAATAAACAAATTTGTCACCCATTTGTGTTTCTCACAACTAATGACTCTTCCTCTGAGAATTCATCACACTGCTAGAATTATCCTGCAGAATGCAGAACTAGGGCAGAAATACAAATAAGCAAAACAAATGCCTGACAGTCTCTATTGTCTGCTTCAATACCAACGTCAATTCATTTTCTAATCCTGTTAGTGTTTTTTTTTTCTCAGGTGTAATTTCAAGTGAATGGTTGGGTGTAAAAAGTAAATGTGAAAGTGTGAGTGATTTGTGCAGCTTGAAGCCCGTAACACAGAGCAGCTAGTCTGATTTAATTAGCCCAAGTTTCAGTGCTAATGTTAATGCATGCCATCTCACTCAAGATACAGCACTATTGCCCCTCACTGAGAGAAGCTAATGATTTATTCTGATTTTTAGAGCTTTAACACTGACTAATTGGGATGCAGTACATTGAACACAGATGAAAGAATAAAAGTATCTCTTTTCTGGAGAGTAATTAAGAAGGCATTTGCAAGGACAAAATATTTATGCTTACAATGGTAAGGATTGCTGCCTTACAGCTCTGGGACCTGAGTTCAGCCCCAGATCAGGATGCCATCCACATGGAGTTTATATATTCTCCCCATGCTCAATTGGTACAGATTCCTGAATTTAATATGATTCTTACATTTAGCTTGGAAAATATATTGGCAAAGTAAACATGAAGCAAGGTTTTGAACATCGACATGGAAAAGAGGGCAGATCAGATGACGGAAATGGAAATGAAAGTGCAAAAACTTTCTGTCTGAACACTTGCAGAAGCTTACTGGCACAAAGAGATTTGGTTTTGTCACAGAAACTACACAGCAATACTATGAAAACAGATCCAGTTTTTAATTCCTTCTAAAGACCACATGTGGAGGCTTTCAGATATGAAAGCTAATAGCAAACAAGCAGTCAGGATAAGTCCACTTGCATGCATGCCTATTCATTAACCTTTTTTCATGTTTTCTTTTTTATTTTTCTTGGGGGTATTTTAGGTTACCTTCCCAAAGAAAAAGCAGGGAAAACACAAGCTTAAAATGCCTCGCTGTCCCTTTAAAATGGAGCAGTTTACTCCAGTTTAAAGTGTGCGTGATTTTAATGTGCAGCTGGTTAGAAATTAAGTACTGCAAAAGGGAGTAAGTTAAAAAAAGCACAAAGAAAATTTCCATTTTTGACATTCTGTAGCAATGCTTCCTGTAGCAAGTGCACAGTGGTTAAGGCAAAAGCAGTGTCTTTCTATAAATGAGAAACGAAATATTCAAGCCCAGGATAAACTAAGAGCAGGGGATACATAAGGCAATGCTCTTTGAATGCAAACGAAGGTTTCCCTCCAACCAGACCTGAGTTTAGTAATTTCAGCCTGTCACACTCCACAGTGAAGGCTAACTTACACATAATTAGACGTTTTCTTTACCAAAGAAAACCAAACAAGCAAGGAACATTTCTGAAGAGCAGCACCAAGAAGTTCTGAATCACTTTTTGATTAAATCCCTTGTGACTAGGAAAGGATACTTTGGGTAGAGAGGTTGAATCTGCCAGTTATACTGCAGTATTCTGGCAGAGGGTTATGTAGGTATGTTATTTGAATTTTAAAGCATTTGTGAAAAAATGAAGTTATTTTTGTATTTGCTGCAATAGTAAGCAGAGGGGACATTAAAAAGAATAGAGAAAGGCTGTGCACTTTCTTACATTATGCTGTTTAAGAATTTGACTGAATATCCATGCAATAGGAATTTTTGCTTTATTATGAATATCCATACAATATGGCTGGTTTCATGCTCTACGTTTCATTAAAACAAAATTGTAGGCAGACAAGTATCATCAAGACTGATAAATGATCAGACTTTAATGTTTATAACAGACCCAATGAAATCCTTCTTTTTCTAACACTCTTCTTTTATTTCCATGAACAAAAGCTGGGATATGTTAATATTTAATAGAGCATCACAGCGGTACAGAGGTTGGGATTGCTGCCTTGCAGCACTGAGAATGTGGGTTTAATCCCATATCTAGGGTGCAATAAACATGACGTTTGGGTAGCTTATAAAATTGCACAAAAATGCTACAGTGCCTTTTCATTTAACTTCTGTTCACCTGTAGTAGTTGCATTAAATTAATTACTCAGTCATACTTTTGTTTGGGTCGTATTTATAATGATCTATAAACTATTAACTTTATGCCATCATTCTATAACATTGAAAAGATATATTAACATTTTATTAATGATATTATAAACATATGATGTGATGCTCAGACTATAATCAAGAATAGGGATTGTTACTGATATCCTGCTCATGTACCGTAGAGGTTGGATATCAGCGGTTTCAAGTCATTTTGTTAATAGTTCATGAATATATTTGATTTGTAAAGTATTTATAAATAATATTTTCCCCAGCTAACCTAAAATATTAGCCAGCAACTATCATTTTCAGCAATTTTTGTTGCTCAAAATTACATTATTTTTGACAAAAAATATAATTCCTGATTACTGTAGTACAGTATTCTATGTATCATAGTATCCTTTTGTTGTTTAACGATATTGTATATATCGTTTTTATTAAGTTATTATTTGGCAGATTTAGAGGAGACCTTTCAATGTTAAAACAGCAAATAAATATGGAACTGCAGTACAGTGGTTCTCAGCCAGGTAATTTAGACCCTTGAGGGTCTAATATTTTTGGTTCCTATTTTAAACAGTATGTAAGATCGATACTCTCACACAGTGATTCTCTCATCGACACCATTTATAGAGGATCAGTTAATCTGCAATTCTGCTTTAATGTAATTGTTAATATGCTTCTGAACTCATAACTAGAAGGTTGTGGGTTAAAATCCTAAGTAAAAGGCTGTTATATTCTTGAGCAAGGTAATTCACCCAAACTGTTGGAATAAAATCACTTGCTGTATAAGTGTGGACTTATGTAAGTTTATTTGGATAAAAGTGTCAGCCCTATAAATAAATGGTAGTAACACATAGTGATTTCTTCAAATCGATGTCCCCAGACCACAAACAAAACCTTGTTAACCCTTTCTATAGGTTTTCTGTGGTAGACTGCGTGTAAAAAAACAACCCTTTTCTGTTTGAATGTTTCCTTTGTTTAAAGTTGCTTTCTAGAATGAACAGCATCAAGTGCCTCTGGCCTTGAAAATGTTGAAGGCTGTGGCAGAGAAGAGGTAATAAAGGAAATACCGCTCCACCTGCTGGTCTGTAGTCATTAATACAGGACATTGAATCTGCAAATTAATCCAGTCAGGCTGCAGTTTGAAAACAGGAACAACGATGTTATTTCTGCCTCAGTGGAAATATTTCTGTAATAAAGCTAAAACCAGAATTCCCCTAAGCTTTTAGATTCATCCCAGAATTTATTCATTTTTCTGTTCTTCCTTGTTTTCTTTAAAAAAGTAGCCTATAGCCACTTGGAAGTCATTTCTCATGACAGACAAGAAAGAAAATATAAATGAATCTAGGGGTTCATGTTGTATTCTTTTGGAATAAATGTCAAAGAAATGTCAGTTTCTGGCATGTTGCCTCCATCCTCACATTAAACCTTTAGCGTGCATGTATTAATGATGAGCAGACGTGTTCTTAAAAGAGGTGGTGTTTTGATTTTCCAAACTGAAGATCTTTCGATATCTCACTGGGGAAAACTGGGGAAATGACACGATTTGTTTTAAAGATGCCAGGAGGGACTGTTTGCTGCTTAGGAAATGTTACTTGCAGGTCAGAGATAAATTGGGATATGAGATTGGAAAGGATCACTATCAGTGAATATTGGAAGATAACATCCCTGACCTTGTGCTGACTCTACTCTGGGCAGAGCTCATCTCCGTCAAACACCTCTAGGTTAATAATAAATGGTTCCATTTGTATAGTGGTTTTCATCCCTTCAGTGAGAGAGAAGTGTTCACAGCATGCCTCCACAGCTAAGACATGCACATTAATTGGCGGTACTGTTTAAAGCAGAATAGATAAAAACACAAGAATGTAGCAGAAGTCTCATTTGGTTGAGGCAGACATTAACACCAGTGTTCTTACATAAAAACTGAACAGCTTTGGGACCTACCAAGAAGTGTGTCGTTTGAAATCTTTGGTTAGGGGAATGAAGAAAAAGAAAGAATGTATTTTTTTTGTTCTGCTTACCTCTGTGTCTGCTGTACTGCTTATACAGGATGGGTTTGAAACTTGTTCTTTTTCAATCACATCCCTGTGTTCTTGAAAATCTGACTGAAAAGTTCAAATGCCCTTTAAAAATTGTCATTCCCACAAAAATAGTTTATGTGAATTTGGCTGCCTCTAAAACTGGAAGAATTAAATGACACAATGTACACGATAAGAACATCATTTTTTTCACTTCTCTGTGCAGTCAGACATAGCTGATATGCTTTATAGAATACGTGTGGTTAGAATAATAACACAGCAAATTCACTATTGATGGAAACCAGACCGCTGCTTTTGTATGAAGACTCTAAACAACTCACAGAGCTGAATACATATTTTTATATATTTACAGATTCAGCTTTAAGTAAATAATTGAAAAACCTGCTTAGAATAACTTAACCATTTATTTTTAGTTCTCTGGTTTTAGACATAGAATCAGAGTGTCTTTTTGCTTTAACTTATTATTGCAAACCCTGGGCTCCCAACTGGCTCAAAGTTGCAATCTCAACTGTAGTCATTTTTAGGAGTCTTATTTCCAAGCAAACTACAACAATTTTATTTAGCAAACACGTCGCAAAGCCAGTGTCAATTCAATGATTGTCATGATTATGGTCTAAGGACATGTTTTTTTTTTTTTTAATGTGATAGGTTCAAAGTAATGTATTGTAGTTAAATTATTTTCAAGTTCATATTGTACCTTCAATAAAAACTTAAATGCTTCAACTGAGAGGGTCATCTAATGGATCCTGACCAGGTCTAGTGCAAGTGATCACATTACTCCTATCCTGGAGTCCTTGCACTGGCTTCCTGTCAAATTCTGTGTGGGCTTTAAAATTCTCATGTTCACCTATAAGGCTCTGCATGGCTTAGCACCTCAATACCTGTCTGAACTATTATTGCCTTACTCCCCACCTCGCAACCTTCGCTCTTTTAAGTCTGGACTCCTTACTGTCCCCCAAGCCCATCTACATTGTATGGGTGACAGGGCCTTCTCCTGTTATGCCCCAAAGCTCTGGAACTCTCCGCCCAAGGATATCAGAGAGTCACCTTCTCTAAAGTCCTTCAAATCCAGACTCAAAACCTTCTTCTTTAGAAGAGCCTTTACTTAACTTGTTCCATTCTTCACCCCTCTGCTTTTCCTAGTACCACCATCCACGGTCTCCTCTATATATTGTTTTATCTTGTGTTTTTCTTTTTATTGTTGTTCTCGTTCTGTAAAGCGCTTTGAGAAACCACCTTTAAAGGTGCTATATAAAATAAAGTTTATTATTAATATTATAAATGGTACTATTAATTGTGAAAGGTGTGTGTGTGGGGTGATTATAAGAAATTCTGATATGGCTAAATTCAAATTCTCACCTTTAATTGCTTAATTTCTGAGAAATATTACCAAATATCTCAATGTTAGCTTGGGACTCACTCATTTAACAAAATCTGTCATTTTAGGCTGGAAGTTAGAGACGTGGATGAAACAATGTAATCATATTATCTCCTAAGCTCAGTTTCTGAAATGGATTCCTGCCCCTCTGCTCTCTCCCTCTCCAGGTGTACTTCAAGAGGGATGGGGAGCTGATCGAAGTGATTCCCTACATCCAGCCTACAGCTGGGGGAGAGGGGGGCGCAGCAGGGCTGAAGGACTCCCGACCCCCCAGGCCCCTGATCAGCCGGGAGCTGGACGACACCAAAATGCAGAAGTCCCTCTCCCTCCTGGATCTGGACGGCAGGTCAGCCCGGCTCTTCACAGAGAACCCTCTGCGGGGGCATACCCAGGGCGCCCCCGGATTCGAGCCCAGCCCCGCCACCGAGATCATACCGGAGACCGTGGTGAGCCGCGAGTTCCCGCGCTGGGTTCAGAGCTCAGATCCGCTCTACTACTTCCGTCACGTGCACATCCCTCTCAACGATGGGACTGTGGAGGTGCGGGCAATGATCACGTGGACTCTCAACCCCCAGCTGGACAACGACGCCCTGTTCAGCTGTGAGGTCAAGCACCCTGCCCTCTCCATGCCCATGCAGGCTGAGATCACACTAGGTGAGTCTGCTCTGATCCTCTTCCTCCCTGTGACCTTCACTCATCTGTTCCTTTCTACATCCTCCATTTATATCTGTGCATAGGCAAGGATTTTATTGATGTATTTATTGAATTCACATTTGGTCAATGTGATTCACTGAACTTATCTTTTTGACTGATTTGATTGATTGATTTAATTTATGTGGCTGGTGCTTTTATCCAAAGTAAGTAAACGGAGATGAATGCGATAAACAGCAAAGTTGTGGATTTTGCATAATACGATCGGAGGAACAAGTGAGGGAAGAATAATAGAAATCGAGCTCGGTATGCACTGCAAAGTGATGTTGTGGCAGTGTGGACCAGTAAATACATGCCAGATAGGATAGATAATAGGAACAAGTGCAGCAAACCTCTTTAATTTGTTCATTTTTCATTTTCTTCCTTTCTTCATTTTTCCTGTATCCCTTTCTCCTTCTCCTCCAAACGTTAAAAATCACGACAGATTTTCTTTGTCTTGAGGTGGGAGATTTACATTTAATAGCAAAGAATAAGAGTGATTCATACAAAATTAAATTTCTGGCAGTTCTAAAACATTCATAAAATTAAACTTAATACGAAAAGAAATGTATATTCCAAAAACAGCTACTTGATTACTTTGTCTCAAGGCAAAAAAAGGTCTTGAATTTCACCAGGGATAGAAAACGGTAGTAGAGAATATATCCTACTGTCTCCATCTTCTGGCTTGTATTTGTTCAGACTCCTAGACATGCAGAAGTTGCTTTCTTGATCAGCAGAAATTGTTTTAAAATTCCCATCTAATAACCACAGTTTTCAGTTGAAATCTAATGGCAGGCCAAGCGTACAATTAACAGAGTAAGTACTGTATGCGTGTATGTACTGTATGCAGTATAAATAGGTAGATAGATGGATTGCTAAGAATAGAAAATAAAATACCTTTTTAATTTAATAACCAGCAAATCTCTTTTGAATTTAAATAAAATAAAAATTCAGATTGGGGCTTAACACAACATAATCCTTCATTTCAGCGAGCTGTCACACTGCTGAACAATTAGGACCTGTCCATAAGAAGTGCACGGCAGCCTTTTTCCCATAAAGGTGGGGAAAATGTACTTGTCAATTTTCAGCACTTAGGAGGAATTTGCATGAATTGGATTAATGGAAACATGGTAGCCATGTTTCAGAATTTCTAAATAAAACGTATTATAGTCTCTGGGTTGCTAGTTCAGCATGTCTATAAAACTCCTTCCAGAGCAGAGAGGATGAGAAAGTTCTATTGCAAAAATCAAAATGCTCTTTGGTAGGTCAAGACACACACTTGATCACTTTGGCACAATTTGCACTTTGCAATGGTAACATGCTTATAACATGTCTCGGAATTAAATGATTAGTCTTTTTTGTCTTTCACACATTTCAAAGAATCCAAGCGAATGACCGTTTGATTGCAAATCTTTCTTAACCTGTTGTTACAAAGCCCGTTTTATTGTTAATATCTGGGGAAATTTTGCTGAGGCTGCACAAGGTTCATTGTAACTAGTCTCTAAGATTCCCCTCTGCAAAACAGACAGTGCAGCAAAATAAGCCGACAAACTCCCAAGCTGAGGGATAAGAAGACGTGTCAAAAGAATGGAATCAATTTAATCTTGAAACAAGGAAACCCTCCGGGGACATTTCATTATCACCTCAACTTGAAACGTACACCAGCCAATAAAGGTGTGTGACTGGGAATTGCCAGAGATTGATTAAAGAGCCACTTTTGTCATTCATGGAGCACATATTAAGTAAGTTTTGTCTAGGATTCTTATGGTTCAAGAATGTTGTGTATGAAGATGGAGAATAGAATACTAGCTCTGCAAAGAAATGGTTTTGGAACCTCCATTATAATTGTTCTGAAACTTTTTTTATATCAAAATCAAACCATTTTAATCAAAATCAGTGTTTTATATACATATAAGGGTTTATATTTACCCATACAATGATGCAATCGTGTATGAAGTAGAAACAAAATAATAAGAATCATAGAATGTGAAATAAGGGAACCAACTAGTGTACTTGCCACAATTAAGAGAGTAATCAGTTATCGAGATAATTAGGTAACAAGTTAACAAGAATAGAGTGTGGGCAGTTTTGCCATGTACAGTATAATGCTCAGAAAGCACATGAGAGGTTACAAATCCATTTCTAAACATTTAAATTCCACCCATCCACCATTAGACAGATAGTCTAATATTCAAGGCTAAGGTGAATCTATGCAGAACTGGTCATTCTGGCAAAATGTTCCTAAGAGCAACTCGAAAATCACCCGGGAATTCACAAAGAGCCCCAGAGTGACATCTAAGGCCTCTCTGCAGGCCTCTCTCACTGCAGTGTTCATGCCTCATCCTCCAGGAAAGGACTAAATTGGAGTGGTTTTCATGGGAAGATAGCCAGGAATAAATCATTTCTCTTTCAAAAGAACATTGCCACCAATCTCATGTGTACCAATGAGCACAGGCTGTAGAATAACTTCCAGTACATGACTAAATGAAGAATGCTCTCTGCACAGACAAGTCAAGATGAGACACAAAACATTTTGATTGGTGAAAACTAAACACTACCTTCCAACAGGAGAACCTCATCTCAACCATCATTATGGGGGTATTATGTTGGGGCAGTTTTGCTGTCTATGGATCTAGATGGCTTGTCACTATTGATAGAAGCACGTCAGTGAACCTAAACACACAAACATCTCTACAACACAGTGGCTGAAGATGAAGAAATTAGCATTTTGGATTGACCACTCGGGACAAAGTCAAAGTCCTGACCTAAACCCCATTGAAATGTTATGCTAGGACCAAGAGTAAGCTGTTCATGAAAGGCAGCCCTCAAATGGGTGCTCCAGTTTCCTCTCTCAGGAACAAGACATACTGGGTTCCCTTTCACTCTGGATTAGATGTGTTAATCAGGTTATTTTAATCTTTTATTAAGACTTGCATTAAGATCTTATCACTTTTTAATTATAAAATATACGTTTAACGATACGTATATCACAAATCTTTTATAGGCACGGAGTTGTACAGTAGTCGCATGGAGAAAAGCACTGATGAGTAAAAAACTGTCCTCTCCGTTTCGATATCTGTATATATTCCAGTTAGTGGAGACCATCAGTGGTTTCGTATGATGAGAATCAAAATGAAATCTTGATCACAGTATAAACAAAAGTGCTGCCGCAAAACATATAATCAGTCATCCATTCAGTTCTTCACACATTTAACAAGTACTTTAGCATCTCTGTGCTGTACCCTTCAGAGTTTTGGAGTGACAAGCTGTGTGCTTCTGAATTCAGCATCAGAGTATCTTCAATTACAAAGATTTGATATGTGTCTGCCAAACAATGACATCATCCTTTGATTCCTGAACAACACCTTCTTAGGGTAATCTGCTTCAAGGCAGGAGACTTAAAAAAAAGAAACTAGTTTACAGAACAACCCAAAAACAGGGATTAGCTGCCTGTAGCCTGGCCTCTTGTTGGTCTGTTAGCCTCCAGGAATGGCTGCTTTATACACTGTGCCAGCCAGGGGACCTCTTTCTGGGCATTTGGCCCACACTGGAGGAAAGAGACTCTTTCGGACAGCCCTTTCTTTCCTCGAGGCCCAGGTTTTGAACAGTGATGGACTATTTATCCATTCAGCTGTCACTGATACAGGAGATGCCTGAGGAATAACAAGGCAGCATATTCTGATTTTGCTACACAAAAATAAACGTGGTTTTCTACAAAATTATAGTTTGCTATGAAAATAAACACAGACATGTGAGCAGGTTCATATACTCTTACAGTAAGTGTTGGCCTTTTGAAAATGTTTAACCACATGTGTACTTACATTGCATTACAACAGCATACACCCCCTTCCAGTGATGTGCTGTTTTGTTCAATTACTCATGATGCACACACGTGTTTAAGTAAATATTTTTAATCAAAACACTAGTGCTCAAACTGAACACTTTTATTGTCCAAAGAAGTTAAAAGCAAAAGCAGCAAGGTAAATCAAAAGGTAAAATGTTTTGCAAAAAATGAGATGATTTAGAAGATGTTTTATTAGTTATGATTCCCTTGAATACAACTAAAACACCAAATAACATTATGAAATGTGCAAATAACATTCACAGCCATACAATTAATTGTAATGGTTCATAATGAGACCATTTCTACTGAAAGCTAAGAGCAGACCTCCAGATAGCGAGAATTAAGGTGAAAATGATGGAAGATAGGCAGCACGATGGCACAGTGGTTAGGATTGTGGCTTCACAACATTGGGGCCCTGGATCCAATTCTGGATCTGGAGTTCTCCCCCTGTTTGCATGGGTTTCCCCCTACAGTCCCACGGATATAATGGTAGATTAATTGGCTTCTGGAAAACCTGTCCCTGGTGTGAATGTGTCTGTGTGGTACACTCTTATTGTTGGCTGGATTAGGCTCTGGCTCCCTCACAGCCCTAAATTGGAGAAGAGGTTAGAAAATAGATGTATGATAGAAGATGCCATTTGGGATCTGAGAGCTGACAAGGAATTTACGCAGATGCAGTGCAGTAATAGTGGACTTAGTACATGTATTTGAAATTTGTATTTTGCTATGTGTCTTTTATCATTATTATACAGTATTATGAATGTATCAGAATGGAGTGTTTAGCCTCATTCAGGTAAAGTGTTACCACTATATTCATACCAGTGTCACACCAAGCAGAGCTCTTTGTCAGACAAAGGCTTTATAGTTAAGAAACACTACTTCTCACTTGTTAAGTGGCATTCTTCACACCTCTCACAGCCAGTGCACAACAGAAAAAAAGAGAAAGAACACAGACTGGCTCAGTTTGATCTCATTTACTGTTTGGCTTTATTTCTTGAAGGATTGAAAATCATAATAAGTAGAAAGATGCCACTGAACAACACATCCATGGGTTTGCTGGTTCCAAGTGATGGGAGATTAAAATTAGATCTTAAACTTGGATCTGATTGGTTGGCCTAGA